GTGACAGGACTCCTTGGGACTTCTGGCTTTCATTCATCCCTGTGTCTGTGAAGATGTAAGGACCCAAGGGAGACTGACTTGGCAAAGGTGGTATCACCAAGCTTGAGATAAAACAAAAATGATCCAACTAACACTCATCTTTCGCTTACCAGCTCTCGAACACTTGGTTTTGAAATTCATGGATTTCTACAGCTTGTTACCAAAAAGTGTTTAAAATGTGCAAAAGGATGGGAAAAGGCAAAAGGGAGATCAGGATGACTGAGGCTAATCAGAGAATTGAATGTTATCAGAGGGGCTGGGAGCCCGCATGTCAAAAACATAAACAGTGTTCTCATCTTTCACTCAAAAGCCATCTTCCAAATGTGTAAAATTTCAAGTGAGTTACTGGTCACAATATTTTTTACTGTTATGACTATATCAACATTATCAAAAGGAGAGTAATTTAATGATACTGAGAATTTTTTCATATTTAGGTAGATGATAAATAGAAAAGTATAGAAAATTTTATACTATAGGCCATAATTTTTAACATATTTAATATTAATTATTTATATAACTCATGAGGCTTCCCAGAGGGTGGCACAGTGGTAAAGAATCCACCTGCCGATGTAGAAAACACAGGAGACATAGATTCAATCCCTGGGACAGGAAGATCTCCTGGAGAAGGAAATGGCAACCTGCTCCAGTATTCTTGCCTGGAAAATTCCATGGACAGAGGAGCCTGGTGGGCTACAGTCCATGGGGTCTCAAAGAGTCTCAGTCACAACTGAGCAACTGAGCACATATGCACACATAATTAATATTTACTTATATATTTTTCCATTCACTAACATATATGTAAATGTATGTAGATCTTGAGGATTTTACTCGATAGTGGGTCTAGTGATGGAAGAAAAGTAAGATCCTTTGTTTATCCTCATTCAGAATTTAACAGGTCTGCAGAATATAAGCAGAAGTGTAAGCATGAACCAAGTACATTTAGCAATTTGAAAAATCCTTTCAAAACATATGTATCTTGATTTCTTCAAAGTCTAGAAGGGTCTAAGCCAGGAATTGTTGAGTAGCTCTGAACAAGAAGTGAGTGAGTATGATGACAAGAACAGTTGAAATGACCATCACAATATGTGGCTTCTCCTGACTCTGTCATGAGCCACCCGAGGGGCCTTGGCCAGTGAAATTAACAAATACTTATTGGGGATCATGAAGACTTTGTTCACTGGAGGGGGCAAAAAAGACAAACAAGATCTGGCTCCTGCCCACAAGAAGTTCATGAGCTTGAAGGGAAGATAAAACATATGATCATAACTTACAGACAGAAGGAGAAGAAGAGGAGCAGAAACCAAACCTAATGAGAATTTAGACAAAGGAAAGACTAATTTCTGGCTGAAGAGGAGAGACTCTAAAGGTAGGTTTTTCCAGAAGAGTGACAACTAAAGAGAGCCTTAAAGAAGGTCCCAAGATTCTGACAATTCTAAAGGTACAGGGCCTTTCAGAAGCAGTGGGAAAAAATCCTTGAAGAGTGAAATTAAGTTCGTGGCTCTCAGGCTGAAGTCAGGGTCCAGGCGTTTTTGGCCTGGACAAGAGCTCACCAGGCTCACTTAATCCCCAGAACTCTTTTTTGGACTCACAATGACTGGCCTTCCCCGTTACATCATCGGCCCGGCTCTGCAGATGTTCGTGTCTATGACACTTGCAACAGGGATTCATGATTATCAAGATAAAAAGTCTAGAGAGTACTTACTAAAGAAGAGAGAAAGCCAATGAAAGCTGAGTCAGGAAGCATCAGGATCGCAGCTGTGCCTTTCAGAGAAGTGTCTGGCAGCCCTCTGGGAAGAAACTGAAGGAAAGAGGGCTGATGGCCGAGAAAGAGACACAGTGGTGGCCAGGCCACACTTCAGGGAGGGATGGTTTGGATCTGTGCTAGGGGAGGTGTGGAGACAAAGGGGAGTGTGGATTGCAGAAACACAGAAGGAAGGACTTGACAATTAACTGGATAATCTGGTGGGGGTTGGGGGAGTGCAATCCGTGGTTAATTTGAACTTGACAACTTCAGTGTCTAGGTGAATGTTGATGCCACTAATAGACAGCAATAAAGAAAAGGAACAAACCTGATGAGGAAGATTCAGTGAGGGTTCTTATAAGTCTGAAGAGTTTAAAGGATATTGAAACAGGAAAATCTAGAGTAGCGGTTCTCAACCACGGACGGTTCTGTGCCTCCCCTCCTGCCACACACACAGGGGACATTTAGAAATGTCTAGATGGGCTTCCCAGGTGGCACTAGTGGTAAAAAAAAAAACCCACCTGCCAATGCAGGAGACATAAGAGACAAGCGTTCAATCCCTGGGTCAGGAAGATCTTCTGAAGAAGGAAACAAAAACCCACTCCAGTATTCTTGCCTGGGAAATCTCATGGACAGAGAAGCCTGGTAGGCTATGGTCCATGGGGTCCAAAGAGTCAGACACAACTGTGCAACTTAACACGCATGAAGAGACATTGGGGTTGTTATCTCTGGGGAAAGCAATGCTGCTTTGAGAGCAACTATTAGGTCAGGTCCAGGGATGCTGCTAAACATCCTAAAACACACAGGATAGTTCCCCATAAGAGAGAACAATCCAACCAAAAATGTCAATAGTGCAGAAGCTGAGAAATCCTGGTCTAGAGGTGGTAGGAACTGCACATCTGGAATATTAGAAAGTATGAGTGGAGAGAGATGAGAACTCTTAGTCACTCACACTGCAATGAGAGACAGGGGAGAAAATTAACCACAGTGAGAATATGCAGAAAAGAGAGATAAGCAGATGCATGATAAAACTAGGCAATATCACCTCATGGCAAAGTGAGTTCATTGGGATGAAATCATATCTAAAATGCAACAACTGATGACTGCTTTCAGGAAGTGTGTGCCCAAGAAGATAAAAATGGACTAAGTAGTCATCATGAAATCATAAGACAGATGAATTCAGTCATGAATGTCCCCCATCCTCAACCTTCAAGACACCTTTCAGTCTGTAGTGGGGAAACATTATATGTGTCTGTGATTTTTATTTGCAAATTTATTGTAACTCAGTCACAGAACCACACAACTGTAACAGGAGAAAAAAAAATTTCTTTTAAGAGTAGAAGAAGGAGGAAGAGGAGGGGGGAAGAAAGAAGGAAGAGACAGGTGAAAAAAGTTAAGAGGAAAGCAAAGGAAGAAGGAGAAGAGAAGTGGAAGGGAAACATGACAAGACAAGAGAAACAAGAGGAGGGAAAGGAAAGAAAAGGAAGAAAAAAGAAGTGAGAAGCACTGTAGAGACCTCCTTTAAGGTAGACAGGACAGTGCGCGAGGGAAGTTCTATGGAACCAGACCAGTGGCCATCATCATTCTTTCCAAAAAACTGTGATATGGGGTTATATTCCATGGAAAGAGAGAGTTGCTTCTTGAACAGAATCATCACTGTTTTTCAAAAGCTATAATAATACAAAATGATGAAATGGTAACCAATACTTATGCAATTCTCCAGAATTAAATAAAAGTTGTCAGAAGTCTGCTCCGGGCGGGGGGGAGGTGGGGGGTGCGGGGGGGGTGGGAGTCGGGAGGGCTGGCAGGTATAAGGAAGGAAACCAGAGCGTGACAGGGGATGGGAGGCAGTCTGGCTTTGAAAGGAAGGAAAGCACAGAGGTGCATTGAGAGCAACCTGGCGACCTTGGACTGCTGAGTAGAGGTGTAGAGGCATACGAAGTCGGCAAGAAACTAGAAAATGGCTCTTTCCCATTCACATGTTTATGCCATCCATAAAGACAACGTATACCTGGAAAAAAAAGGTCCCAAGACCAAAGAAGTCACCACTGATGAGGAGGGAATGTGAAGAACACGTGCACAGGGCAGAAGGCAACATGCTATGCCAGAGCCAGACAGATCTTGAATTCCAATCCTGGCTCCACCATCGGCTCGTTCCATGCTTTCGCAAGCCGCAGAACATGTCTGAAACTGAGCTTCCTTTCTGGGAAAATGGGAGTGATAAGGCTTCCCAGGAGTGCCCTGATGATTAAATGAGATCATATATGGAAAGCCTTCAGCACAGCAGTTGGTGCTGGGTAGGAACTCTGTCAGGGGTAGCTGCTGTTAAATAATGTCTAAATCCAATTACTCTAAGTAATGACTGAGTAAGAACAATACGACTCACATTCTGAGTCAACCCAAATAGAACACGTGAAATAAGGTAGCTCATTTGAAAACTGAAATCTCCATTTTCAAAAATAAGCAAGTTAGCTTTTATGAATTCATAAAACTGGAAGGGGCCTTTGGAACTCTGATCAAATTTCCTCATTTAATGATGGAAAAATTGGAAGAGGAAATGAAAAGACTATTGTGGTTTGGATGTACGTGAACCAAAAAAATATTTTAATTACAGGAAAGTTACTCATCATTTTTTTATATAACACAAGATGAAGATGGAGTTCAAAAATTACAGCTCATAATGTTATGTCCATGCGTGCTAAGTCACTTCAGTCGTGTTTGACTCTGTGTGACCCTGTGGACTGCAGCCTACCAGGTTCCTCTGTCCATGGGATTCTCCAGGCAAGAATACTGGAGTGAGTTGCCATGCCCTCCTCCAGGGGATCTTCCCAACACAGGGATCGAACTCATGTCTGTTAGATCTTCTGCACTTGTAGGCGGGTTCTTTACAACTAACACCCCCTGAGAAGCCCCCATAGTGTTATAAATATAGGCAAATACATGTGCATACATAAATCCATATATGTATATTATAAACACATATACAATATTCATATGTCTATGTTAGAAATGATAGAGCTAACCTGTGGAGACATCAGGCAGACAGTTAACCTTAGCTATCCATGAACTCAGGTACCCTACCTCACTCGAATTCACCCATTAGTAAATATATCTGATAAAGTTCTTAGAAGTTTCATGGAACGCTGAATAAAGAAGCTTCAGTACAAAACTGGTGATTCTCAGGGATGTACTTTCCCCAAGCTACAGCCAGATCACTCACCTGTCCAGGAGGAGGTTAGGAGCAAATAGGAGCTTCCCTGGATGCTCCATGGAGCGCCAGACAAGACCAATCATGAGGATCTCTAGCCAGGCACATTCCAGTAGGTGGACTTGATCATGAAGGGCCAGATCCACAAATCCTGAAACAAGACAAGAAAACTCCCCTGACTCCAATGAAAAAGAATTGCTGGTGAAATGAATGCAACCAGGGATTTAAATGGTTAGGGTCTATTTTTTATTAGATGTTAAAACACAAAATAGAAGCACACTTAGGAAAATCAAACAACTATTTTTTAAGCCTTGTATATCAACGAACATTAATGTGTCATTTTCTTAGAGTCACCTTTGCAAAAATATACTAACTTATGTAAGCCACTTAGCTTTCTATAAAGTTCTGAATGTAAATGGTGTTTACATGTGTATGCTTTTTACTTAGGCATTTCTAATAGCCTTATGTGATTATTATACTGCATTTCTGTTTCAGTTGAAGATACTTAGGTGTAATAAATTTAAATTACTTGCACTAAACCAAATAGGTACTGAAGAACAGGCAGGACCAAAGTCACTCAATTTCTACTTCTTTGCTGCATCACTAAGTCATGCTCTTTTTTTTCACACCATGTAAAAGAATAACCAATAAAATAGTATATGTACATAGATCACTTGGGAGAGAATGAGTCAGATGAAAAAAAAAGTGACATTCTGATTTCTTATTTTCTAATGGCTTATTGGGAGAGTAAAGCTTTTTCCAATCATCACTGACAATATGGTGGATGCCTACTAGTAATGAGAAAGAGGAGGATGAGAAGGAGAAGAGCAAGAAAGAAGAGGAAGATCAACTCACTGAACCTCCACTATGGGTGAGAAGCAATGCTGAGTACCACCATGCCAATTTTTAAACGTATATACTATAATTTCTAGAGAAAGGAACCCATGGGGACACCATTTTACAGATAAGGAAACAAACATTCAGAGAGCTTAGATATCTGTTAAGGTCAGAGACAGGAATAGAGTCTCCAGAACCTATGCCCTTGACCACAAGTGCCACCACTTCTTATGAGCTGCAAGTAATTATAGACTTTGGATCAAGTGGCTAAATAAACCTAACCACACAAATTAAGACATGCCAGAGTGAGTGACCGGGGCATTGCATAAACGAGATGTCCATAAAGTCTGCTGCTTTCTAAATCAGTTCCCCATGCTTTTGTCCGGGGACATCCCATCACATTTCTTTCCTCTCCCTCTCTGCCCCCAGCTCTTTTGTTCTCTCTCATCCATGACAGTGGGTCTAGGATTTCCATTTTTCTCTGTCTTCTTTATTCTTTTATCACTAATATTATACTTCTATTAGTTATCTATGCTTGTATTTACTAAAAAGTCAAAATGTAAGCTCATTTTCTTTAAGCAGCAGTATTGATGTTTTGCCTACTGAACATTTCTTCTTGGGGGTGTGGGTTAAAAGAATCAGCACTGAACAATTAACTCACCATTTCTTTCATACTTAAGTGTCCTCTTTCATGAAATCCTTACCACTAAACAGATGATGATCCACAGAGAAAAACCCAAACTAGAGAAAGACCCTCTAGCCACTATTCCATAACCAAGCCTCATAAATTTTATCTTTCAAATAATCATAAAATTATTTTTGTTCAATCTATATGTTCACCACTACTCTATCTATTTAATTCCCAAGAGGCTCTCACCTTTTTGCCTGACTTCTTTAACTCAGCATAATTGTTCTGAGACTTACCTATGTTGTTGAATATAGAAACACTGTAGTTGACTCTTCATTGTTGAATATTTCATTGTATGGATATAGCCAATCAATAAATATAATTTTGTTATCTTTTCATTGGATATTTGGTTTGTTTACTTTGGGCTATTACAAATAAAATTGCCATGAGCAACCTATGCACAATTTTTTGTATGAACGTATGCTTCCATTTCTCCTAGGTAAATATTAAATGTACTGTGACTGCAGTATATAGAAGGTATGGGATAGATATATTTTTAACTTCTTAAGAAACTGCTAAACTGTTTTCAAAAGTGATTGTTCCATTTTACAACCCTAACAGCAATGTGTGTCCAACCCTGTGCAACCCTATGGACTGTAGTCTGTAGTCTTCCAGGTTCCTCTGTCCATGGGATTCTCCAGGCAAGAATACTGGAGTGGGTCGCCATGCCCTCCTCCAGGGGATCTTCCCAACCCAGGGATCGAACCCGCATCTCTTAGGTTCCTTACCACTAGGGAAGCCTGGGAAGCCTCCCTGCTTCCCCCTCCCCCTGCTCCCAGCCAATAGCAATAGATGAGAATAAGTTACCCTACCTCTTTAGCCAGTAATTGATATGGCCAGTCTTTTTCATTTTAGTCATTCGAATAGATATACAGAGGTTTCACAATGGCACTATGATTTGAATTAGCATTTCCCTAAAAATTAATGATATTGAGCATCTTTTCATGTGCTTCTAACAGGTCATTATCTTATACTATATTCACATTAATTATGCATGTATCTGTAAATTCTGCTAGACTATGTATTCATTAGAAGCACAAAATGCATGATTCTATCAAATTATGCTTTTTAAAAGTCTCAATTTATTACCCCTTCTGCTACATCATTCAGCCACGCCAAGTCCAATAACAGTGTAGCATTTACCAGAGAAAGAGTCTTCTCCCTGGAAAGAGTGGGTTTCACTCATTTCTGACTTGTAACCAGAGAGAAAATGGGCCCTTCTTGTTCATAAGAAAAAATAAAGGATTAAAAAACTGTGACTGGGTTTCAGGACTTTGGGGAATAAACCCCTACACCCTGCAGTCTTGCACCCATAGTGTGCACTGGGTCAAAATGGACCAGCCTTGCTAGGAAGAAGCACTGTCTAGGGCAGCAAGGAATGCTTCTCAGCAGCCAACATTTAATAGGATAAACCAACTCTAGTGAGCAGTGCTTAAAAGGAAAGCTCACACGGAAGTTTTAATTCTTTGAACGTTCACCCCAATCTTCGAGTAAATTCTCGGAGTAGTTTTTTTTTTAATTGAAGGATAATTCCTTTACAGAATTTTGTTGCTTTCTGTCAAACCTCAACACGAATCAGCCATAGGTATACATGTATCCCCTCTCTTTAGAACCTCCCTCCCACCTCCCTCCCCACCCCACCCCTCAGGGTTGATACAGAGACCCTGGTTTGAGTTTCCTGAGCCATATAGCAAATTCCCATTGGCTATCTATTTTACATAAAAAATAAATAAACTACCCGGTAAATCCAACTCACTTTCAGAAATGTTAACATTCAAAAGGTATTCTCTCTTTTCTCATGACATTCCCTAATTGACATGGGGGGAAAGTAATTATGTGATAATGTCACCCATAACGAAACCCAATCCATGCTATTCAATACCCTCCATGAGCCCCCAGTAATCACACAGGATGAGATTTAGGGGCCATCTCACGCGAGAATGGTAGCCATTGAACCACTTAAGTTTGGAAAACCAAAGGAGCATTTTCTGGTATCCAACCTTACAGATTAAACTGAATCATACTTTCCAATTCTCGCATCAAAACTTCAGTGCTATTTAAGTTGGACAATTTTAGTGGCCTTTGAGGAGCCTCAGAAGCTCACCATAACTGTTTGTACCACAGAAGTCTGGTGATTATGAAAACTATCCGAAGTACATCTGCTAGTAATAGTGTTCAGCCTGAATCCAGCAGAATTGCTGGGTCCTTCTGCTGAAATGATGTAGATCTCTCAGAAAGAAATAGGTGATTTAATTATCTTTCCCAGCTGTGCACATTGCCTGCAGACAAGGGTTACTATGTCTCTTGCAAAGGATCCTGTGCAAGTTCCTGGGGCAGGACTTCAGGAAGTGTGCAAAGACTGTCAATTAACCTTCCCAATAAACGTGAGGGATTCCAAAGAGGGTTACTGGATGCAGTGTCTCCTTTCTTCCAATATACTGACCTCAATATTATTTTAACCACACAGAAGCTAAATGTTCTTTTGGTGTAGAACAAATGTCCTTGAATACTCTAAATTCATATCCAGTGAAGAAAAATAATGTAATAAATTCCACACAAAATTGTACTGGGCCAACTTATCTAAAGGGGCTTCCCGGGTAGCTCAGGGATAAAATATCCACCTGCCAATGCAGCAAATACAGGTTCAATCCCTGGGTTGGAAAAGACCTCCTGGAAAAGGAAATGGAAACCCACTCCAGTATTCTTGTCTGGGAAATCCCATGGACACCGGAGCCTGATGGGCTATAGTCCATCGTGTCGCAAAAGAGTTGAACATGACTTAGCGACTAAAGAACTGTTTGTAGACATCAAGTTTTGATCCTTTGGCTTGTTTTCCTTATAAACAGGAAGAATAATCTAATATGCAACTTCAGTGGAATCTCCTATCATAACTTAGAGACATCCAATAATGCCTTTTTTTTTTTTTTGTAAGGAGTAGAATACCAAGAGCTTTATTATTGCTTTTTTCAATTTATTTTGAATCGAAGGATAATTGCTTTAGAGTACTGCATTGGTTTTTATGCCTTTCTTGAACACTCGAAAGTGTTACCGATATGAACTGGGAGCTTGTAGCATCTATGGGATATGAACAGAGGCTTCAGTGACAGCTCTCCTTACAGTTGACACTTGTGATCCGCACCCATCACTTGGGGACCCTTATCTTAGTGACAGTGACAAGGCCCCCTGGGGCTATGGGGTCCACACCAGTGCGACTGAATGCACTTGTCAAGAGTAGCAACAATAGTTGATTGAGAGCAAGTGAAGTCATATGTAAGGAAATCTCATTTTATAAAATGAAATTTTAAAAGACAGTGAACGAGGGCCTTTTCCTCTAGTCGGCATTCACAGGTCTAGTCGTAGAGTACCCACAGATAGGATATACTGGAAACAGAAATGCCTTAAGTCCCATTCCCCACTTGCTATGTGGACATAAATCTGATGAAGCTGAGGGAGCCTTCTTTCAGAGCAAAAAAATTCTCTCTGTACAGTCAACCAGCTTATTATTTCCAGCCTCATCACCAAGTAAAGATATTCCTGCCTTCTTTCTTGGTTGCAAAGTAACTGTTCTTCCTCCAGGATTTTTAACCGAGTTTTGACTGTGAAAAGAGCTCGTGGCATGTCTCCCC